CCCCCCCCCCCCAGCAGAAAAGAACAGGACACAGGTGCTTCAGCTGCTGTTTATTGACACTCAGGTGGGCACTATAGCAACGGGCCTGGAGATGCTGCACAATAGAATGGAGGTGGAGAGTGCAGGGTGTGACTGCAGTGACAGCTGAGAAGTGTGCAACGAGCAGTGGGGGAGGCCAAAGCTGTTGGGGAAGCAAGTCCGGCCTGGGGGCCAGAGGTTATTATCTACACGGGAACCTGGGCCCCATGCCCTAAGCCCCTACACTCTTGCTGTCTCCTGACTCCAGGCCAGGGCTGGGAGTTCTCTGGACAACTTTCTACAGGAGCAAAGTACACAAGAGATGTTGCTGCCCCTTTGTGATAAAGCCAGAGGGTTTCCAATTCTGCATTCCTCTGTCACCCCTGGCTTGGGTAGGGCCATATGATAGACAGACAGCTGGGCTCTATTCCATGTTTCAGCGACAGTAATTTTCCCGGGTGTCCCAGCCCACCAGCGCCACACTCTGGCCCAGAGTGAGCACTACAAGCATTGCTGGCCTAATGGATGGGATGGGGAGGGGATGGGACAGGGGCTAGAAGAGGGGCTCCAGAGGGCCATCAAGGCACAGGCACTACACGCATGGTGTTGGTGAAGCCAGAGCCAGGGCGCCACCCAGTCAGCACAATGACCACATCTCCCTTCTTGAAGAAGCCTCGGGCCTTGCCAACATTCATGGCCAAATTCACACGGAGGTCTACATCCTCAGCCCAGGCGTCCTGCACTGCGTCCTTACACAGCACAGGGAAGATGCCACGGTACAAATGGGCCTGGCGAGCTGTCTGGGGATTGCGCGTCACAGCAATGATGGGCGCACGCGGGCGGTACCTGGCCACCTGGTGAGCACTCCTGCCAGACTTGGTGAGCACGATAATGGCCCCACTGCGGCACTTGAAAGAGGCCTCCACAGCACCCACGGCAGCAGCTTCTGTGGGGTCGCTGGTAATAGGCGCCAGACGGCGGAGTTTTGAGTTATGATTTTTCTACATAGCCCAGGCTGTTCTGGAACTCACTGTGTAGACCATGCTGTCCTGGCCACAGAGATCTGTCTGCCTCTGTCTCTCAAGCACTGGGATTAAGGTGTGCACCACCATGCCTAGCTAGTTTTGAGGATTTAAAGGGAGGACTACTTTAATCCTATTGGGTCATATTCAATGTCTGGATGTCTATTTTGTTATTAGTAGCAATTAATGATCCATGCCCGAAACCATTAATTCATTAAAGGTTACAAAACCGAGAAATTCTGTTATTTTTATTAGTTTCAGTACTTATGTGAACTAAGTATTTATTGACAAATTTTGTATAGGAAATAAAGAATTAACAATATTTAGTCCCCATTATACCAGTTAAAAAATGACAAATTAGGTATTTTTCAAAACTGCCGTTAAGAGCTTATAGATTGCTTCTGTTTGGCAAAGTAAATGGAGAGAATGCTCATTGCGTCTTTGAAAATAATTGAAAAATACTTGGACTTGTTAGTATGAGCAGTGCCTCTAATTATGAAAACAATTGAAATTTAAGACTGAGGGAAGTGAGTTAGGAATGTAGATAGAAAAGCAGGGATTGGGGCACATGTTTGCGGTCCCACTGCTGGGGACGTAAAGATGTGCAGAGCGCTGGAGCTCGCTGGCCAGCCAGCCTAGCCCAAAGGTGAGCTCCGTGAGTGGCCGTGTCTCAAAATTAAAGTGGAGAGCAGTAGATACTCAGCCTCAACCTCTGGCCTACTGCACATGCACATGAGTTTTCACACACATGCACACACTCAGGAACACACACCACTACCACCACCACCACCCATCAAGTTTAGCTAAAAATAAGCAAATAAAATGAATAATTTTTTATGAAATCATGTAGTCGTATTATAAGGTAAATTCCAAAGGAAGCTTACTGTTACTCAAGAATGTATTTTGACCACTCCTGTGCCATCACCTTTTCCTTTTTTCCCCAGTTTGAAAGCTGAATGGCTTTATAGTCAAGGCAAGGGACGAGCATATCGGCCTGGCCAGCACATCCAGCTTGTACAGTACCTGGCTACAGTCTGTCCTCTTATTTCTGCACTGGGCCTTCAAACTGCAGAGGATGCCAAACTCGAGAAGATTCTGAGTAAGCAGAGGTAAGCCCATTCATTTGTGGCAGCTGACGGATTTGGAGGTGAAGGTACCTTAGACTTTCTGTGGTTAGAGGGTTCCATGGCAGTTGCTTTGCTAAGCAGATCTTGAGTGGGAGACCCAAATAGTATGATAACGGAAGAATGGGAGGTTTGTCAATGCCAAAGTTAGAACCCAGTGGTAGATCTGCCTTGCATGTGTTAGACCCTGAGTTTGAGTTACAATACCTCAAGAAAAGTATTTGGCCTTTAATATAGGTAGGTGCCTCATGTAGCATGTTAAGTGCTCATGTTAACAAATGTGGCCAGAGTGTTTAGTAATCCCTTCTCTTATCAGAGATCCTGTCTTTCAGTGTTTTCACATATGAAATTGTGTTTGTTATAAGGCCATGTGGACAGTTCATTGTATAGATTGAGACAGGGTCTCATGTAAACTAGATTGGCCTTCTACTCACTATGTGAAGAGGGTGACTTTGAACTTCTGACTCTGTTGCCTCTAGCTCCACGGTGCTGGCTTTATGGTATCTGCTGACATCCCCATCTTTATCTAGCAGTTAAAAAAAAAAATCTTAACTTTTTACACAATGCTTTCAACGAGACTATAGTTTGTCAGTGTCTAAAGACGCCCTTGCACACTTCTTAGGTTTCTGTTGTAGCATGTTAACCTAGGTGGCAGGAGAGCATGTCGTCTTAGTTGGTGGAGATGACACAGATGTTGTTGGTTTCTAGGTTCCACCAGAGGCAGCTGATGAACCAAAGCCAAAACGAAGAGTTGTCTTCTCTTGCTCCTGTTGAAACAAGGGCACCTCTTACCCCTGAGTGCTCAAGCCCTGTTCAAGATTTCCAGGAAAGTGGTAAGGAAGTTGTGGCCCAGTGCCTAAGAACAGCTTACTCCACTACTTTTCCTCAACTCACTGGACTTACTGGGTCATGAAACAGTTTGTTTCAGATGGGGTCTCTCTATGTAGCTCTAACTGGTCTGAAACTCACCATGCAGCTCCCAGGCTGATCTTGATCTTGCTTCAAATCCTCTTGATTTCCTTCCTTATTTTTTTGGTATTTACTTTATGCACGTGTGTGTTGTTCTGCGACTTCCTCGGGATCTTTGGCTGCATTGGTCCATGATCCATTGGTCCATTTGGACAGCTGTAGGTATGATGGAGATAGCCTTCCAGGAGATTATTTTAATGAATTATCTTGACTTTATTCCAGACAATAGGAAATGTATAGGATTGGGAATACTAAGTGGCATGCTCCTCTCACGAGGCTGGGTTAGTGGCAGTACGTCCCTATGAAAATAGCTAGAGCATGTCACTTAATTGCCATGTGGTCCACAGGGGAAGAACGTTTGCAGGGAGCTATGTCAAGGGTCATGCTGGAGACATACATCCAGCATCCGGCCTAGGAACAGCCTTCAAATAAGGGCAGAGAAAGAGAGAGCAGGAAGTCTCCCTGGTGAGAGTGAGTCCTCCATGTTGCCAAGCTTAGAGAAAGCTGCCAGGCTATGGTAGACTACAACCTCTGACAAGCAAAGTCTCAGAACATGTATGAGAGTGTTTGGATGAGTATTGTATGCATACGGGAGTCTGTGGAAGGTAGAAGTGGGCATCGGATCCCCTGGAACTGTAGTCACAGACAGTTGTGAACTATCATGGGTGCTGGAAACTGAACCCTGGGCTCTCTGCAAGAGCAGCAAAAACTCTTAACTACTGAACCCATCTCTCCAGCTACTCATTAGCCCAGAAAAGGGAGTCAGATCTCCTGGAACTGGAATTACAGACTTTGTGAGCCTCCCTGTAGGTGCTGAGAATCAAACTCAGGTCCTGTGTAAGATCAGTCAGTGTTCTTAACCACTGAGTTATCTCTCCAGCACCATGTTGTAGTTGTAGGAGGTCGCTTGTTCATTTCCCAGCCCCCCAGACTTCTCAAATAATCGCACAGAAACTATATTATTTGCAATACTGCTCGGCCAATAACTTAAGCATGTTTCTAGCTTCCTCTTATATCCTAAACTAACCGATCTCCTTTGATCTGTGTATTGCCATGTGGCTGTAGCTTACCGGATAAAGTTCCATCTGAAGTCTGTCTCTGGTGGGGCTACATGGTGTCTCCTGACTCTGCCTTCTTTCTCCCAGCATTCAGTCTAGTTTCCCCCACCTAGTTCTATTCTACCCTATCACAGGCCAAGGCAGTTTCTTTATTCATTAGCCAATAAAAGCAACACATATACAGAAGGACTTCCTGCACCAGCACCAAGAAATTCACCTCCCTCCCCCAGTTTTTTAAGATAGGGTTTCTCTGTAGCGTTGAAGCCTGTCCTGGAACTTGCCCTGTAGACCAGGCTGTCCCTGAACCCACAGAGATCCACCTGCCTCTGTCTCCCAAGTGCTGGGATCAAAGGCATGAGCTACCAACACCTAGCAAAATTCATTTTCTAAAAAATGTTTGGTTTGACATTTTAGTCATGTTGGAGGCAATCAGTTTATTGTGCTTACTATATTTTAGGGATCAAATTTCCTTAAATGTAAACAGCTAAGGGATTAAGATGGCTCAGTGGATAAAGTTTGATGTCCAGCCAGACAACCTGAGCTCAATCCCTCAAGCACACATGGTGGAAGGAGAAAGCTGACTGCTACAAGCTGTTCTTTGACCTCAGCATGCAAACTACGGCATGCATGTGTACACTACACACACACACACACACACACACACAGAGTACATAAATAACCGGAAAAAATGTTTTAAGTCTATAATTAAGAAGGCTCTTCAAATACTTGATGATTTAAATAATGCTCTCTCGGTTCTTCTAGAGCCTGTACTCCAAATCAATTCTTGGGTTGGGATAAACAGTAACGATGATCAGTTCTATGCTGTTAAGAATAACTTCCCAGCCTCTGCACACACTACAAGATACTCTCGGAATGACCTGCACCTGGAAGACATTCAGACAGACGAGGACAAGCTGAACTGCAGTCTGCTCTCTTCAGAGTCCACTTTTATGCCCGTTGCATCAGGACTGTCTCCAGTATCACCCACTGTGGAGCTGAGGCTACAGGGCATCAACTTGGGCCTAGAAGATGATGATGACGATACAGATGAAGCCGTGCAAAGGCTAGAAAGCCATGACTTGGACAAGGACAAGGAAAAGCCTTTGTGGGATACGAATGAGAGTTCTGCTCAAGTGCTGAAAAGTAAGATGAGTGCAGAAGTAAAGGAGAAAGCGGGGCTGTTTCCTTGTCCCAAGTCAGTGCTCATCAATGCTCTCTTGAAGGAAGATAACCATGGTCTTACATCTTTTCCGGAGTCAGTTGGTCATAGCGTATCCCACGTAGAGCCAAACAGTGAAGAAACCACGTCTTCCGCCACTTCAGAGAAATCTCCCTGCAGAAATTTTACCGAGAGATCTGTTGCTTTGGGACAAGATAAAGTCACTGTTCAGAAACTGAATGCAGCCGCCACTAAGCTTCAGGCCTGTTGGCGGGGCTTTTATACCAGGAACTACAGTCCACAGGCCAAAGGGGTACGGTATGAAATCCGGCTGCGCAGAATGCAGGAGCACATTGTCTGCCTGACCGATGAAGTAAGGAGGTAGGTTGGCTGGGGGTGCCGGGTTCTGAAGTGTTTTAGAACTCTGCTGCTGTGATCATGACACCAGGTGGCCACTGTCAGTGTCCTCATCTCCAGTGATTTAGCAGAAGCCTCCTGAGAGTACAAATTGCCACATGCATCTCCATTCTCAGCATAGCAATTAGCACATAGATGTAGTATCACAAAAGACATTGAGTGGCTGTGAACTACATAGGCATCTATGATTCTCAACAGGGGGCAGAATCTGTAGAAAAACAAGATGAGGAGGAAGAAGTCCACATAGAATCAGTTAGGTGACATAAGAGCTAGAGAAAGATATCAGGGATTCCGAAGGGGCTAAAATTCTGGGACTGAGGTAGGAGTTGGTCCTCAGTTCCAGGGCATACTTGTTTAGCTGACTGCCGACCTCTGACAACTAGGAGTTCATTAGTATTGGGATTAATGGTGTTTATCAGTATTATAGGTGGCTTAGGGGAAAGTAGCGAAGGAACAGCCAAGAGAGGATATTCTATTCATTTCCAGTGGGGCAGAATGTTCACAGAGAACTGAGAGGTGCTTCATGAAGGGGAGAGAAAGTGATGCTAGATTTATCTATTGGTTGTAATTGGTGACCCTCAGGACTGTCCTCCGGTTCCATGATTTGCTGAACAGGCTTACAGAACTCAGGAATTGTTCTGATCATGGTTGCTGTTTATTATAGCAGATACATATAGATTGAAATAGGGGAGATCTCGCAGGGCAGACCAGGTGCAGACTTCGAGAGGTTCTCTCCCAGGTAAGTCTTAGAGGTACAGGGCTTACTTCCCATCGCTGGGCTATAACGTTGTGCCAACCTGAGACGTTTTCCCAAGCATTTCAGGTCATGGTTTTTACTGGGGTCAGTTATTTAGTCTCTCATGTGAGTGACTTGAACTCACAGATATTCACCTGCTTCTGCCTCCTGAGTGCTGGGATTAAAGGTGTGTGCCACCACCTCCCTGCTGGAGTAAGTTTTAAAAATGGTGTGTTAAGATGTTTGGGAATAGTAGTGAGATTATGGCAGTAGACTGATGGGGTTGTTATTCTTAGGTAGAGCATCCACTTGAATATTGAGCCTTTAGAACAAAAGTGACAGGAACGGGGCAGAGAGGAAGCCTGGTGCTGAGACATCAGTGAGTAGTGCTGGAGTGGGAGAACAGATTAGGATAGCATTAGGATAGCAGGCATTCTCACGGATGTCTTAGGTTTCTATTGCTTTGCTGAAACACTGTGACTGAAAGCAACTTGGGGAGAAATAGATTGTTGCAGTGTATAGTGAGAACTCAAAGCAGGAACCTGAACCTTGAGGCTGTAGCTGAAGCAGAAACCATGGAGGAACATTGCTTACTGGCTTGTTCCTCATGGCTTGCTCTGCTTCCTCAGCTTGCTTGTTTGTTTGCTTGCTGCCTTCCTGCCTGCCTTCCCTCCCTCTTTTCCTCTCTTTTCCTCTTCCTCCCTCTCTCCTTCTCCTTCCTTCCTTCCTTCCTTCCTTCCTTCCTTCCTTCCTTCCTTCCTTCCTTCCTTCCTTCCTTCCTTCCTTCCTTCCTTCCTTCCTATAGGGTTTCTTTGTGTAACAGTGCTAGCTGCCCTGGAACTAGCTCTTGTAGACCAGGCTGGCCTCAGTGAACTCACAGAGAGTGCTGGGAATTAAGGTGTGCTCCACCACCGCCTGACTTCTATTTATTTATTTTTTTAAGATTTATTTATTATGTATACAGTGTTCTGTCTGTATGTTTGCCTGCAGGCCAGAAGAGGGCACTAGATCTCATTGCAGATGGTTGTAACCTACCATGTGGTTGCTGAGAATTGAACTCAGGACCTCTGGAAGAGCAGCCAGTGTTCTTAACCTCTGAGCCATCTCTTCAGCCCTCCATTCTGTTTTCTTATTCAACTCAGACAACCTGCCCAGTGGGCGTAACCTCCTGTTGGCTGGGCTCTTTTTTATTAATCATTAATCAAGAAAATGTCCCATAGACTTGCCTGTAGGCCAATCTTATAGAGACATATTTTTCAATAGAAATTTCTCTTCCCAGATATTTCTGGGTTTGTGTCAAGTTGCAGAAGAACTCAACCAGAATAAGGGATTAGATAAAGAATCACTTGAAAATAGCAGTGAGAAGCAGTTTGATGGCTTTGTATAAAAGAGCTAATTGAAAGAGCGACAGGGCTTGCACAAACGAGTCTGCTTTAGCTAAGGAAATGTTCAGAGAAATGAAGCCTATGCGGGAGTTTGCTGCTTAAAATCGAGGAGTGCTGGATGGCGCAGAAGAATGTCTTGGAGAGTTTAGAGAACGTGGATAACTGTCTTGGAAATTCTGAAAAGGGGTGAGGTATGGCTCAAGGGTAGAGCCTTTCTTTGTCTAGCAGGCACAAGGACCTGGATTCTTGATCCAGTACTGCAAAGATTAAAAACAAACATAAAACAAAGTTCAGGACCAAGGGGGGGGTGACGTCTAGAGTGGTAGTGGACAACTAAGGAAGGCTCTGCTTTGGGACAGGCCTACGAATCGAAACGGCTCCTGTAATTGAGAGGAAAGATGGTGGTATGAGAACAATAGGTGGGAGAGACCCCAGGGAGAATCAGGGATGGGGCAAGAGGGATGGGCTTGGTTGACGTCTTAGGAGAAAATTGTCAGTCTGTGATCCTGAGTGCCTGAGTGTGACTGTTAACTTTGGAGGCTTTGAATAACCAGCCTTTTCTAGGCCCCATCATCTTGTGTTTGGCTGGGAGCCTGAAGGGCAGATAAAGAAATGTTTAATACATAAGCGTGTGCGCACACACTCACACTCATACACACCATTGGTAATGCTATGTACAATGAATAAGTAAACTTCAGTTTCACTTACATCTCATTTGGCTCCTGTCTTGAAGCGTGGTTCATTCTGAGTTGTGCTTGAAGCATTTTAAATAAGGCTAGAGCTTAGCTATGCAACAGTGGAAGCAGTTGCTATTGGATTGTTAATCTCTTTGTATGCATTTGCTTAGTAGTTGTAACAGGAAGTTTACATCAAAGCCTTCTTCCTCACGCTAACATGATCTTTTGAATCATTGTAGATTAAGAAAAGAAAGAGATGAAGAGCGTGTGAAAGCTTCTGTCCAAGAAGAAGCTGTCAGATTCCTTTGGAACGAGGTAACTGCCCTCTGCTGATTCCTCTAGTGTATGTGAACACAGACAATTTCCAGTGAGACCAATTTTTTTTTTTTTTTTTTTTGGTTTTTCAAGACAGAGTTTCTTTGTGTAGCCTTGACTGTCCTGGAACTCATTCTGTAGATCAGGCTGGCCTCAAACTCACAGAGATCCACCTGCTACCTCGCCTCCCACGTGCTGGGAGTAAAGGCATGCACCATCACCGCCCGGCCCCAAATCTTTTTAAGCCTGTGATTTTACTAGTACTGTAAAACTTTAAAATATTACAGTATTACTAATATTGTAATAGAAAACTTCTGAATTGTGGGGTGGTGGTGGCAACACATGCCTTTAATCCCAGCACTTGAGAGGCAGAGGAAGGCAGATCTCAGTGAATTCGAGACCAGCCTGGTCTATAAAATGAGTTCTAGGACAACCAGGGCTGTTACACAGAGAAATCCTGTCTCGAAAAGCAACAACAAAACAAAACAAAAAAATCCCAAAACAACAAAAAAACTTCCTAATAATAATTTCTTAGAAATATCTTAACAAATAAGTTGTTGTAATTATATAGAACCTATATATTAAGTTAATCAATTTTTAAGTTTTTATTTACTATTAGTAGGGAACTGGTTAAATAAACTATAAAAATAACAGCACTATATAATGCTATGGGACGATTAAAAAGAGTAAAGTAGTACTATGGACTGACCTGGAAAGATCTCCAGAGTAATACTAATAAAGTAGAAGATGGAGCTTGGCATCTACTTGGTTTGCAAAGCTAAGGACCAGTGAATTAGTTCACGGGGTGAAGGTGCATGTCATTAATATTGACAGCCTGAATTTGGTCCCTGGGACCACATGATGAAAGACAAGAACCAACTTCTGCAAGTTGTTCTCTGGCTTCCATAAGCATGTGTGTGCCCCCATCTATAAATGTAAAAAAATTAAAAATATATATTAAAACTGCAAGTATATGGGAATATATAGAAAAAAAAATCTGAAAAGATATACTTTAAACTCCTATCAGAAAGTACTTGATGACACAGGGCTAGGTAGTGAGATCCTGTCACAAAAAGCAGACAAGAAATTACCTTGGATATTAGTCACAGTGAAACTAAAAATTCTATTTCATTTTGCTTTTGAGATAAGTTGTCATGTGGTCCAGTTAGCCATACACTCACTAAGCTGAGGATTGGCCTTGAACTCCTGATCCTCCTGCCTGTACCTCACAAGTCGGGGTGTGCAGCATCACAATGGATTTGTGTACTTTTGGGCCTTGAAACCAGGGCCTCATGCATGCTAGGCAAGCACCATACCCTAGCTACTCTGTATCACTTTCTTGCTTGCAATTTAAAATAAGAATTTATGTGTATGGGTGTTTTGCCTGCATGTATGCATGTGCACTATGTGTGTGCAATGCCCTTGGGGCCAGAAGTGGGTAGTAGAACCCTATGAGATGAAGTTACAGATGGTTGTGATCTGCTGTGTGGTGCTGGTCTTCGGAAAGAGTGACAAATGTTCTTAACTGCTGAGCCATCTCTCCCATACCTTGCTTGCAATTTTTGTTTGTTTCTTGAGATAAGGTTTCTCTGTGCAACAGCTCTGGCTGTCCTAGAACTCGTTTTGTGGATCAGGCTGGCCTCAAACTCACAGAGATGCCCCTGCCTCTGTTTCCCAAGTGCTGGGATTAAAGGTGTGTGTCACCACCACCAGGCACAACTATGTATTTATTTATTTATCTTTAAATTTTGTATTATTTTTAAATTCTTCGTTTGCTTATTTATTTATTATGTATGCAGTATTCTGTCTGCATGTATGCCTGTATGACAGAAGAGGGCACCAGAACTCATTACAGATGGTTGTGAGCCATCATGTAGTTGCTGGGAATTGAACTCAGGACCTCCGGAAGAGAAGCCAGTGCTCTTAACCTCTGAGCCATCTCTCAGCCCAAGGCACAATTTTTATAGTAAAAATTCGAAATTATTTTTATATCTTAAGATATAAAAGGTCATATTGTCAAGAATTTGGGAATATTTTTAGTCATTTTAGAAAGTTATAAATATTACATTTTAAAATAAATAGAAACCCTGTGTCTGCATGTATATCTAAAATAAACTGATTTTAGAGGCTCCATTTATTTATTGATTTAGGTGCCAACCAGCCTTATTGACTAGATGTCAATTTATAGTTTGTACATTGGTGACCCCTTAGTTAAGGAGTTAAGATGCCCGTGGAGCAAGAGAACTGCTTTGGCATTGGTCTCTGTGCTGGTGATTGCGCTTTGCTACCAAGACACAAAACACTGTACATTCCTGGTTAGGCTGGGAATCCTATGAAGAGGATGGGGAGTAAGGAATGAAGGTAACTGCATGACTTCTGGAAAAATAAAAAGCTCAGAACATTTTAAAAAAGGCCAGATATTTATCTTATGATAAAACTGTGCCTTCTGTTTTACAGGTGAGATCCCTACAAGCTTGGCAACGGACTGTGGAGCAGCGCCTAACTTCCTGGCATACCGATGTTCCTCCTATATCTAGTACTCTAGTGTCACCTAAAGCTCCAATATTTCCACAGCGTCAGGCCCTCGCTTCTGATCAGAATCCTGATTGGCTCCTTGCTGAGGCTGAAGCGTCTCAAGAGAGATCTGTTCCAGAATTCCCAGACTCTGGTTTTCATTCCTCCCTAACAGAACAAGTTCACTGTTTGAAGGATTCTTTGGATTTTGAAAAGAGTTCCATAGAAAGCAGTGAAAGCTCCATGTTGGGGAATTCCTCGGACACAGTGAAATACGGTGGAGCCGCCAACTTAGAGGCCATGACTGGGGAGCGCGCAGACTGTAGCAAGGAAAGCTCCAACAGCGAGCAGGACAACACCCTGCTCGAACAGTATTTATCTTCAGTCCAGCAGCTGGATGAGGCCGATGAGAGGACAGATTCTGACGATGTGGCAGGAGACAGTACGTGCCACGTAGCTGGTTCCCCCGAAGGGTTGGATGCCTCCTCTGAGATCGAGGCTCCTGGAGTATCCCCCCCTTTACAGGATGAGATTAGCCAGACCCCAGAGAATTGTAAGTTAAATGCGGACGTTCAAGGGCAGCAGCCGGAATGTGACGCCGCATTTCAGGTGTTGCATGTGGGTGTCACTGTCTGATTTAAATGGGGAACAGAGGTTCACTTGGATTTTCTCAGTGTTTTCAGTTGCTTCTTTTGCAGGGGGGCAATCTTACCCCCAATTTTGTTATTGTTTATATAAAATTTGTATTTTGTTCCGTATTTTTCAGATTTGAGAACTTGAGCTAAGTCTTCATTTTGATTGTACTAATGTACTAAAAATATTGATATTAAAAGGCATATGCACTTTATTTCTTAATAATTATACCAATAATGTTTCTTTTACATACTTCCTTTCAAAAACAGTTTCTTAAAGTATTTTTGGCAATTTAAACAAGAGAGCTTTGTTCTTCTTAATTACATAGTAAGGAATATAATATGTAGGATGAGGATTATGAACAACTGAAATTTGCTGGACAGTCTCCTTGAACTAGAAATATGTCTTTCCTCCCTTTGAGTTATAGGAGTGTCTGTATGTGTGTGTGTATGTGTGTGTGTGTGTGTGTGTGTATGTGTGTGTGTGCTGGCAGTTAAACCCAGAGCCCCAGAATGCTAAGTATTTGCTCTGCCACTCAACTGTCATCTTAATCCTGGATTATAAGGTTTTTAAATGGGGTGATTAAACTGCCTCATGACAAACATTAGCTAAACTGTGGATCAGTTTTGAAGTAAAGTATTTCATATAAGGTTAAAATCAAGCTTACTTGGGCAAGAATATTTCTCTTTGATATGGACAAAGACCACCTAAGGCTATTCACTTGAAATAATGCTGGTCTAATGTTTTATAATTTCATTATGTGCTTTTTTAGCCTACTTACATTTATGTGCCAATATTTTGGAAAGAAACATATTGTAATAAGTCAATATGCATTCATCATTATATTCTTTTATTTCTATATGTATTGCACCAGAAGGATCCAAGATATTTATTTCATTTTGTGTGTGTGTGTGTGTGTGTGTGTGTGTGTGTGTGAGAGAGAGAGAGAGAGAGAGAGAGAGAGAGAGAGAGAGAGAGAGAGAGAAAGAGAGAGAGAGAGAGATATACTGGGGACCCAATCTAGGGCCCTGTGCGTGCTAGGTAAATACTGTACTTCTGAGCTGCACTCTTGACCTTTGTTTCACAGTGAAGAACATTTAAAATCCTACTACTGAGAGATTGGGAATGGATTTTTAAAAAGGATTTTTATCTAATCTCTGAAAAAAGCCATATTTGAAAGAAAATTTATTTGTAGTTAAGAAAAAAATAAGCCAGGCTGGGCCTGGTGGTGAGCATGCCTTTGATCCCAGCACTTGGAAAGCAGAGGCAGGCATGTTGTAATAGGAGCGGCAGGGCTGCGTCCCCGGCACCCGGCCGCCCACATGGCTAGTTTATACCCAGAAATAATTACACGGAAACTGTATTCTTTCAAACACTGCCTGGCCGGCTAGGTCCAGTTTCTTATTGGCTAGCTCTTACATATTGTTCTAACCCATTTCTAATATTCTGTGTAGCCCATGAGCTGGCTTACCAGAGAGGATCTTAACCTGCGTCTGTCTGGAGTGGGAGCATCATGGCGACTCTCCACCAAGACTCCTTCTCCCAGAATTCTCCTGTTTTCTCCACCCACCCAAGGGTGGGCCTTATCAAGGGGCCTAGGCAGTTTCTTTATTAATAAGAAATCACTCCCACATCACAGGCAGATCTCTATGAGTTCAAGAACAATCTCTGGTCTACAGAGTGAGTTCCATGTCAGCCAAGGCTAAATTATAGACCCTGTCTCAAAACAAACAAACCAAAGAAACTCAACAACAAGACAATAAAAACAGCAACAATTAAAAAAAAAAGAAAAATAAAACTAAGAAATCTTTCAGAAATAATAATACTGTGTTTGAATGTTGAAGGTACATCTGAAATCAAAGGCGACAATTGGAATCCTGGCATTATGTCGCTTAGAATGTTCTCATTAAAGAGCACAGCACACATCTGATTTTTCTATCTGCATACAAGCAACTTTCACAATTCTGGCAATACTTCTGTTGTCTAAACTTTGGTGCTAAATATCATCAATTATTCTGTTATAGCCATTAGAGCCCCTTAACTGAAGATACATACAATAAAAATTCTGGTCCTTCTGAAATAAAGCTGAGGACCACATGGTATTTTTTGCTGACAGGAATATTTCTGCACTACGGTGAACAATATTTCACTAGTTTATAAATTTATAGCACTCGGGTGGAGAAGACTCACATTCATTCTCAGAAATCCAGAATTCACAATAGCAGTCCTATAGTGTGTTACATTGAATGCATGGTGGATAAAAGCTGACAATTTAACTTTCTGAATAATAATTACCTTTTATTCCTCTGAGCCATCTCTCCAGCCCCTACATTTCTTTTAGAGATATTTAATTTGTGTGTGTTTGTGTGTGTGTGATAGAGTGTATGTTTGTGTATATGTGTGTGCGCTTGTGTGTATGTGTGTGTGAAAGAGAGACTGTGAGTTTGCCCTTGAATTTGGAGTTACAGGTGTTTGTGAGCCATTCATGTGGATGCTGGGATCCACACTCCAGTTCTCTGATAGAGCAGTAAGCACCTTAACTACTGAACCATCCCTTCAGTCCTATCTTTCATTCCTTTTTTAATGAGATAAGAAATATTCTTATTTTTCTATTTTTGTAGTTAAGCGCCTCATTTGCTGCCCACAGTTAAAGAAAAACTCACTGTACTAGTACCAAACCTGTCTCACTGTTTGTTAATTTTCAGAAGAGTGGCCGAAGTGCCACGCTTCAGCCTGAGTACGTTTATATTAGCATCTTCATCCTTGTTCTTTCTCTTTTTCTCCCCCTTTCTCTTTCCCTCCCTCCCTTCCTTTTTTTCCTTTTTGGTTTTTCGAGACAAGGTTTCTTTGTGTAACAGTTCTGGCTATTTTGGAACTCACTTTGTAGACTAGGCTTGCCTTGAACTGACAGGGATCTACCTGTCTCTGCCTCCCAAGTGCTGGTTAAAATGCTAAAATGTGTGTGCCACTGTTGTGTGTGTGTGTGGGGGGGGTTTCTGACCCGCCTTGTTCCTGCAGTTGTTAAGTCCCAAAGAAATCATACAGAAGTCTACATTAGTTATAAACTGATTAGCTTAGTATCTCAGGCTTCTTATTAACTCTTACAACTTATATTAGCCCATTATTCTTGCCTTTGTTAGCCACATGCTCAGTACCTTACTTGGCGGGGCAGTCACATCTTGCTTCTGTGGCTGGGACAGGACTGTGGACCAAGCTTTCTTCCTCCCAAAATTCTCCTGTTCTTGTCACCCCGCCTCTACTTCCCTCCTGGTTGTCCTGCTTATACTTCCTGCCTGGATACTGGCCAATCATCATTTATTTAAAATATAATTGATAGGATACAGACCATTGTCCCACAGCACTTCCTCCTCTTTTTTTAAAAAAAACAACTCTGAATCTAATGTTCTTTGTTTAGCATTTCTCCTCACCATTAGCCGTAACAACTTATAACCAACATTCTAAACAAAGGAAAATATACATAGTCCATTTTTGGGGGGAATGTGGGCATAATTTTCCAGGCTACTTCCTGCTAGTCGGGGGCACTGATAATCTTATAGGGACCTAAAGAAAATTTATAATTATCATCAAGTCATGACTGGAGTATCCTGTGAGGCTTGATCATCTCAGGCAGCAGTCTTGAATCTGTTCTGGATGTAGAACTCAGAAATCTGGGCCATCTGCTCCTATCAGATTTCTCAGATAGTCTACCTTGATCAAACCTGATTTTTCTTAACTCAGAATGAATCCATAGCCTCTCATTTTCTGTGGAAACAAAAGCAAAACCTCTTCTCCAAAGTAACATACTTTTTGACTTCAATTTTGAAGTCAAGGTATTTTCAAAATATCTATCTTGGATTAATTCAGCAGCATTTATGAACAAATATCTTTTAGCAGCTGTTGCTCCTTCCTCAGCATTCAAACAACTCAAAGAGAACATAATAACATACAATATCCAGATTCTCTGTGTGTTTTCCATCTTTACGTGGCTTTATTTTAACCTCTATTTCTTTTATTTTTAGTTTATAGCTTTTTGAGACAGGGTTTCTGTGTATCTTTGGCTGTCTTGGAATTCACTCTGTAGACCAGGCTGTCCTTGAACCCACAGAGCTCTGCCTGCCTCCCAAGTGCTGGGATTAAAGGTGTCTGCCACAAGGCCTTGAATTCACAGAGGTCTGCCTGCTTCTGTCTTCCAAGTCTTGGGATTAAAGGTGTGTGCTACCACACCCAACTACTCTCTCTTTTTTTTAATTTTAAGGACTTTAACCTTTTTTTTCTTTCCCAAGCCTGCATATATTTTTAATACACTGTAAAACATTTAGAGGTTTTCTTCATCTTTGAATCTCTCTTTGCTGTATATCTCTCTTTTTCTGATCACATTGAGTCTTTAATTTGCTAAGTGATATGGCTAGAATTAAAGCCGTGGCTTTGGTGGCTGGATCCAGACCATTTCTTAGCTTTCTGAGATTCCAGCCTCATGGCAGAGGTACTGGCCAGAGACACGTTTATTGCCACAACTCTATGGCATTTCAAGATCCCTGCCACCACCAAAAAGCATGTGGTCAGCTTTTCATTGACACCATTTAAGTGTTTCATGTCAGGACCTCTTAAAAGCGCTGCAAGGTTTTGCAGCTAAAGCTGAGTCAGGAAGCCTCTCTTAAATGAGAGTGCTTGCCTCTAGCGAGCAGAGCAAACCCAAGAAAGTGCTGCTATCAATAAGCCATCCTTAACTCTATTCTTTTCTATCTAGAATAACTTCCCAAGCTCTCTCAGGCTTTTAAGTAGATTTGGTCAGCCCCACATTGGCACGCCATTCTGTTGTCATGGGTTTCTGTCCCACCTGGTCCCTGCATGCCACCACTGCCTGGCTTCTTCCTCCTTTTTCTAAGTAATGGCAGATACAGCCATTTGATCTGATTGGCATTGTCAGCAGAATTCATTTTTCTTTTGCTGTTTTTCTTGTCTGAAAAATGGCATTCAACATATTTTTATGAAAAACCTGGCAGAATGTGATAATTATTAATATTCTGCTTTATCTTTTTTATTTTTACTAGATTTTGGAAGTATGAGAATATTAAGTAGCACACTTTGAGTTGTAGAGTATCTTGAATGTAGATGAAAGTACTGTAAATCAGAATGTAGAAAAACTACAGCATAGACTTAATATTTTTATTGTTTATATAATTTAAAAGTAATTTATGTAAAAAAGTAATTTATGTAACTAAGAAATAGTAATTATGTTACTGTGTTCTTTATTAGATTGGCTGAAGATCAATCAGGTAATGTTTGGGGAGCTGGATTTTGGACATGGGCTTTTCTGACAGGAGAGGTTTTGTTCAGTTGTGCTCTTTTTACTCATAGAAGTTCTCTTGTTTATGGAGTATTTGATTATCAATTGGAATACTTAAGAAACATAAGCTCATATCATGTGAGAATAACAAGGAGTCCTAAAATTATCTACTGAAATTATTATTATTATTATTATTATTATTACTACTACTACTACTACTACGACAATGACGACGACGAATACTGTTATTATACTGCAGTTCAAAAGAGCTGCTGGCCACACAGCAGGGACTGACTTTTTCGTTTTGAGTAGGAACAGAAGCCCAGGGGTGATATCCGACTTCTCTACGGTTGTAGCAGTCAGTAGTAAACTGTGGAGACATGTTACTGTATTCCAAACTCCTTGTTCCTTCTCTGTTAACTTTTCCATTTAGTGAGGGCAAAAGTCTCTGCATTTTAAAGAGGAAACAACGCTTTGAAGGGATACCTTCAATGGCAGAGTTGTAGCAAACACCTAAATCTTTCAGAACTTTGAATGAATGTTCTCCAAAAAAAAAGTGTGATTTCATTAAAATTGTTTATAGAGCAACAATAACAGTAGGGAATGGTGGCACGTGTGTATGATCATAGTGCTTGGTTGTGGATGGAGGGGTCAGGAGTTCAAGGCCACCGTTAGCTAAGTAGTGAGAGTCAGATGCCAGCCTGGGCTACCTGGGATTCTGTCTCAAAAAACAGCAATAGTGAAGTTAAAACTTTAGGAAAGACCCACTGTCTGGGACTACATTTATTTGTTGACAGGTAGTATTATAGGATGCCAAAGTAGATACAGTTTTTTCAAGAAACACTGATTTTGATGTTTCATCTTGCCTTTTATAGGACAACAGATCAGAATTTTACTCTCTCAGTGTGAGAAAGGTCTAATTAGGACAGCTGATAATATTCAAGCCGTTTGCTTTTTATGTATAACTATAAAAGGACACCATACTATGCATGTTCTAGAAAATGTTTGGTCACATAGTTGTATATTTGTAAATAACTTCATTCTTTAATTACATGAGCACCATTCTTGAGTGTATGTTTTTCCTTTATTTATTTTAGGTTATTTTAATTATTAATTATACAGGTGCCATTCTTGAGTGTATATTTTTCCTTTATTTATTTTAAACATCATAATAGTGTACTTTCCTGTTATCTATCTATTTAAGACAAGTCTAGTAATACTTTTCAGAAATACTTTCAGGAGTATGCAGGATTTAAATATTATCCTATATCTCCTGGTAATTTCTTTATATAAAGTATTAAGATTGGATTTATAACAATAATATTTTTATTTCTAAAGTAAGAAGGAGAAATACAGCCTGGCAGTGGTGGCGCACGCCTTTAATCCCAGCACTCAGGAGGCAGAGGCAGGCGGATCTCTGTGAGTTCAAGACCAGCCTGGTCTACAGAGCTAGTTCCAGGACAGGAACCAAAGCCACAGAGAAACCCTGTCTTGAAAGACCAAAAAAAAAAAAGGAAGAGAATACAGTCGTTGGATTATTTCTCATTCATAAAAAAAAGAAAAAAAAACTGGCTTGGTTACATGGTGGTTTAATATAGATTCTTATTTTGCGCCACCTGTGTTAAAAGGAGTTTATTATAGTTATGTTTTAAACTTTATTTAGTACTTTTTCCCTTTCTTTCTCTTTCTTTTTTTTTTCTTTTTTCTTTTTCTTTGTCTTTTTGAGACAACATCTCTCTATAAAGTTCTGCTGTCCTGGAACTCACCAAGATCCTCCTGCCTCAGCCTCCTGAGTGCTGGGATCAAAGGCATGTGCCACCATACCCAGCCATAGTACCCTTATTCTTGAAGTGAAGCAGAAGTAGTTTGTAAGGAACATTTAAAAAAAATTTTTTTTGAGATGTTGTGGGGGGGGGAGGGTCTCACTATGTTGCCTAGACTGGTCTTGAGCTCCTGACCTCAAATAATCCTCATGATTCAGCCTCCAGAGTAGTTGGGACTACAGGCATAGAAACATTAAATTCTAAATTTTCATGATAAAGCCAATTGTGCCATATTAAAATTAAAAATCAAGTAAACAAGGCCGTCCTCATAGCCTTGGAGAGAAATTAATCACTGTCCTTTTAGAATGAGGTGCTTCTCATCTGTGACTGAATAGAAATCACACTGGATTTGAATTCTTTTATTGATTTTAGTGACTATTCAGTTTCTTTGAATGTTTTGTAATAATCTGTGTGTGTGGTGTTGGCATTCCGGGCAAGCATGTGCCACTTAACTACACTGCAGCCCTGTGTGTCAGAATATCACTGATGTTGGCAATAAGAGTTTAAAAATTATTTGACTTTGTACTATTTTAGTTTTTTATAAAATGTTACTATGAATAGTGTATATCTAAGGTGACTGGCGTCTGTTTGATGAAGGCTGTTTCATGTTGTACTTTCCGTTTGAACTTGAGTTTGTCTAATCTTAAATAAAACTTTATACCTTTGGGTGCGACAGCTTGTTATTTCAGTGTTATGATGGTTATGACTCATTGTGCCCATGTGTCGGTGAGGTTAGAACAGGTTTTTGTTCAGAAAGTCCAGAGTGTTAACATTGTACAAAGAGAATATGAGCATCATTGGTTCCACAGCCTCGCTCTTTCTCGACAAAGGAAGCATGTGGATTTTATCCAAGGCATCTCTGCGTATTCCTAGGAGGGTGAGTCCACTGGGAAGCACACTCCGTGCATTAAGGAGTACATTCCTGAACATGATCAGATTAAAGTCATAGTTTAAAAGAAATGGTAGACACACATTATTTTAGGGGTGCTTAACTCTAGGTCATGTTACAGCGATGGGCAGAAATGCCTCTGGACATGCTCAGTTGCTCTATAAAGTTTTTTTTTTAAATTTTCTACACTGTTTAACTTTTCTATGTCCCTAGTCTTTATTTTTTTTTTAAATATTTATTTATTATGTATACAATATTCTGTCTGTGTGTATGTATTCTGAAGGCCAGAAGAGGGCTCCAGACCTCTTTACAGATGGTTGTGAGCCACCATGCGGTTGCTGGGAATTGAACTCAGGACCTTTGAAAGAGCAGGCAATGCTCTTAACCACTGAGCCATCTCTCCAGCCCCCGCTCTATAAAGTTTTGTAAACAATTTTTTTGGATGACAGTTTGGCTGTTTTTTAAAAAAATATTTATATAACTTTATTTTATGTGTGTTTGGTATGAGGGTGTCAGATTTCCTAAAACTGGAGTTACAGACAATTGTGAGCTGCCATGTGGGTGCTGGGAATTGAACCTGGGTCCTTTGGGAGAGCAGCTAGGCTCTTTAACTGCTGAACCATCTCTCTAGCCCCTTGCTGTTCTTTTTTTAAAGATTTATTTTTATTTTATGTGTATGGGTGTTTAGTTTGATGTATCACCACACGTGTGTGTTTATAGAGGCCAGAGGGAGGTATTAGATTCTTTGGAACTGGAGCTACAAGTAGTTGTGGGACACCACGTAGGTTCTGGGAACCCACCCTGGGTGCTCTTAACCACTGAGCCATCTCTCCATCCCTGAATCAAAAAGTTTTAGCTGAAAATAAAGGAATGGATACAGTGAAGGTGTATTAACACAGGCCTTTGCCCGTGGAGGTGCCTGCCTTTCCAAGTCACTAACAGATGCCCTTTGGCTAGTGATCTTTGATTTATTTTATTTTTTGAGACAGGATTTCCTTTTGTAACAATCCTTGCTGTCCTGGAACTTGGTTCATAGACCAGACTGGCCTCAAACTCACAGAGATCCACCTACCTCTGCCTCCCAAGTGCTGGGATCAAAGGTGTGTGCCACCACCGCCTGGCCTGATCCTTGCTTATTTCTGCACACAACATATGATGCCTATGCTTAAGTGATCATGACAGGCCTTGCCTGGCACCTCACCTCATACTCCTTCTTTCCTTTCCTTTTCCCTCCCTCCCTCCCTCCCTCCCTCCCTCCCTCCCTCCCTCCCTTCCTCCCTCCCTTTCTTCTTTCCTTCTTTTCTTTTCTTTTCTTTTCTTTTCTTTTCTTTTCTTTTCTTTTCTTTTCTTTTCTTTTCTTTTCTTGAGACTGTGTCTCATTGTGTAGTTCTGGCTGTCCTGGAACTCATTATGTAGACCATTTTGGCCTTGAACTGATGGAGATCCGCCTGGCTCTGTTTCCCAAGTACTGGGACTAAAGATGTGTGCTACTATACCCAACTGACTCCAAACTTTTGAGCTGTGGTGGGTGCCCTGGTCCCAGAAGATAGTCCCAACAGAGGCAAGTACCCAGTGTCAGGCCAGCAACAGTTATCAAGTTGTGGAAACGGGCCAGGCAGTGACTTACTTGACAGCCAAGGAAGCTTTGAACAGCTGAAGAACCTCCAGGAAGACAGGAAGTGGAAGTAGAAAAACCAGAACTGAAAGCTAGTAAAAGGCTTTAAGGAACTAACAAAGACAACATGCTAGTCCTGGTCTCTAGAACCAGAGAGCTAGCAAATCCCAGGCCAGAAGGTCACAGACCCCAGGCTGAGAGTTGTAATACAGGCTGCTTGTCAAGGGTTACGGGTTCTGATCAAGGACTATAGCACTAGGAGGGTTTTGATGCTCAGGGCATGGACAGAGACAAACAACAGATGATGCCACTTGCTGCCACTCACTGCTGCCCAGTGCATGCCTGAGAAAATGGAGACCTGTTCAGCCAGCTGATGATGACAATGGCAATCAAGCCTAGAACCTTGTACACACCAGAGAAAGATTCTACCACTCTCTTAGTTGCTAGCCTCAGAGTCCTTCCTGATCTCAGGCTCTTATAGCACTGTGATCAATAAGTATAAAGATAATTAATGCCAGTTGTAATTCATACTAATTCTTCAGCCTGGGAGCACAGCCTGGCAGCAGGTCTCCCCACCTCCAGCATTTTTCTCGGGTTAAAAGACTAACCCTACTATGCTTTATGAACTGAACTTTTGAGAAACACAGCCGAGCCAGATGCCTTTTGTTCCACATAGGCTCTCCGATCCTCTAGGCACTCCTCTCAGCTCCTCAGTTTCCCCAAGCTGCTTCTGACATTTCTCCACTTAAATGTGCAAAACTATGATAATCAAGAATTGAGGGTGGGGTTGGGTGGAGTATTTTGGCACTTTTGCCAAGAGACTAACTTCAAAGAAAGAAGCTTCAAGGCCCTGCTATCTCCATGCTCCTGCAAACCGTGTTTCTCTGGGACCAGCAACTCCACCGCTGCAGGGACAGCTTTGTGGCTAGTTCTCAGGCAGAGAAAATCCTGCTGAGGGAAACTCCAGGGAAACGCTGATATCCAAGGTCCTTAGTATTTGAGTCTCCAGAGGGGACCAGCCCTCGGGCCAGAGTGCGAGACGTGCATAGTCACTAGAGCACAAGAGCCCTGTGGCAGTGCCAACTCCTTGTCCTCGCCTCCGGGCACAGCACCCTGCTTGCGCGGCTGTCCGTCAACATCCCTGCCCCGCCCCTCCCGTAGTCGGACCAATCGTAGCCGGGGGTCGGGGGTGAGGCGCCGTAGCCGGGTCAGGAAGCCGGGAAAGATCGGCCTGGTGCAGAGGCCACAGATCGGGGCGTCCACATCCTGTAGAAGGGCGAGCGGCGAGTGAGACTCGAGACCCGGTGAGTGCGAGCTGCGACTGTGCGCGGAGCGGGGCGGAGCTTGTCCCCTCGTGCGCCCCTCGGCTGCTGAGCCCTGTGTTCCACAGGAGACCCCTCCGCCCCGCGTCCCTGGTGACTCCAACCCGGTGTGGGGAGCTGCGACTCCGGGAATCCGGATTGCGTGTCAAGGCCCCGGAGCAGAGGCCCCGATGGAAAGCGCAGATAGATCCTTAAGCCCTGGGCTGCGGCAGCCGGGAACCAGAGGATCCCAGCCGCTGCAGAGATGGGGCGGGGCGAGGTTGAGCATCTTCATCCTCAGTTTCTCCACTTGCTCCAGTGCCGCTGCGCCCGGTAGCTGGCATCTGAGGTGGCCCGCACCAGAGAACGCAGCCAAGCCCCCGTACCCCCTCCCACCCCGTAACGCCTTTCTTTTCTTACACCCGGTTCAGAGAGCTTGGCGACACAGCTCTCAGATCACTAGTCTCATTGCTGCCCTGGGAGCCAGCTGTCTCTTGGCTGGTTATCCTGTGATACTTTGGACTAGTCTGGCCTTACTGAGATGCAATTTTGAACACATCAGGGTAACCATGCAGGGAGAAACGCGTATGTCACGGGACTCAGTGTAATGTTGAATTTTTGACTTTCTCCTTGATCCAAATCCAGAAGGGCAGTGGTGCTAAGGGGATTACGAGGCAGAATTTTGCATAATGAATATATATAAAATTGTAATTTTCCCCTTGCTTTTCATCATTTACTTCGAAGGAAGAATGTTGCCATATTTCCAACAGGTAAAGAATCACACTGCTCGGGTGGTCGTGCCCTCCTCCCGCTGCCATTATTTGTCATTTGGAACAGGGTGTGTTTGAAGCTGGCAGAATGCCTAGACCCTTGTGGCTGTCTGGTTCCTCTGAAGGGGATGGCACACCATACTTTAACTCTGCAGTGCTGGGCTCTGCCCCCTTTTGACTGGGTTTGCTATCTTCTTTCCATGTCTGTTATTCTTTTATCTCCCCTGGGTTGATAAAGTGCTGTGATTTGTTACTGAGTAAGGAAGCGAAGGGATAGGGCACCGAAGAGGGAATAGTTATCTCAGGTGCCCCAGAATCGCGCTGTCCCAAGAGAACGCAGGAAGGCACAATTCAAAATTCATTTTAGTACCCACCAGCCCTTGCGAACTGTTGTCAGTAATACCCCCCGGCCACTCTGTTGATGGTTCTGCTACTTGACTGTGGACTACAGCTCTCTAGGGACCATTAATGAACAGGAGTATCAATCCCATTCCCGTGGATTCTGGTTTAATTGATTGTATGGTTCCAGCACCTCGTATTTAAAAGTTTCCACAATGATTGTTAATTTGCAATGGCCCAGTTTTCGCCCTTGTAGCACTTACTGTTTGACTTACTAAGCTTTTCCACTTGCCACGCAGCCTCCCGGAATGCGCTGGTCCTGATGTGAGGCACTGGGGTTGAGGAGGTCTAGGTGAGTCAGCACTTTGGGCCATTTGATGTGGACGTATATGATGGAGACATGGGAGCTACAGAAAGGAGTCCTGCTTCATGTGCTCACATTTGGTCTTGGGCTTGAATAGATCTCTGTTTCTTTCTGTCTAACTTCCTCTGTTAACTCTCAAATTCTTTTTCATTTTTACTTTTTATTTTTTTATTTTTTATTTTTTTTTTTTGAGGCAGGGTTTCTCTTCATAACCCAGGCTATCCTGGAATTCACATTGTAGACCAGGCTGGCCTTGTACTTACAGAGATCTACTTGCTTCTGCCTCCCGGGCGCTGGGACTAAAGTGGTGTGTCACCATGCCTGGCTGTTTCTCAATATTTCAAAACTTCAGTTTTTTGTTTTGTTTTGTGTCAGAGCCGGCTCCAACAAAATCAGCCATGGTAGCGGGGAAGGGCCGTGAGAATCGAGGAAATGGCAGATTGAAAGAAATGGAGACAGGAAACACAGGATAGATCCAAGAGGTCTGAAGGTCAATACCACCAAGCTCCGAGTTTATTTCTTAGCCAGCTTATATACTAATTACAGGCCAGAGCAGATCAAAGAACAGCATAATCAGTCAACCACCCCCTGCACTGTTCCTGAGAGAAAGAAGCAAGTAGCTTCGTTATGTATTCCGTGAATCCTTCTAGCAGCAAACAGTTTTTATAATTTTAACTAGCTGTGCCTTTGACTGGCATTCAGCAGCTGTCCGGTTTGGGTTTTGTGTGGAGCTGTTTAGGAGGTGGATTTATTGCCTTTTCCATCTTGTGTCTTCTCTCCCCTTCCTCCCTCCAGAACCCAGGATCATGCATTCGAGGCAAGCACTCTATTACTTATGTCCCCAGCTCACATTCTTCTTCAACAAAGGCACTAACTCACTCTAATATGAATGGCAACTTTTCTGGCCCTCAGCATGGCTTGTTACAGAGTGCACCTCTGCAATGTTTGTTTCATGGGTTGACTCGTGTAAAAAGCTAATACTGTGGGAGAATTGGAAACTGAATACAGTAGACCAGGTACTGTGCTCTGTACCTTTAATCCCAGCACCTGGGAAATAGAGGCAGGGGCATCTCTATGAGTTCTAGGCAAACCTGGTCTACATAGTGAGTTTCAAATAACACCAACAAAAACACATCTCAAAAAAGGGGGGGGGGAGAAAGATTATCGTTAAGTTGCTTTTATTATGATATATAGCTTCTTTATTTTTTTAATTTTTAAAATTTATTTATTTTTATTTTATGTGCGTTGGTGTTTTGCCTGCTTGCATGTCTGTGTGAGGGCGTCAGATCTTAAGAATTACAGACAGTAGTTACTGGCCATGTGAGTGCTGGGAATTGAATTGGGTCCTCTGGAAGAGCAGTCAGTGCTCTTAATCACTGAGATCTCTCCAGCCCCAGCTTCTTTACTTTCTTAAAGTATGGTCCTGACTGGTAGATGTGGCTGGAGCGATTAGAAACACATCCAAAGAGTGAGCTGCTAAGAAGTGAGGATAAGTGGGGTTCAGTTTAGCCTTGTCCCCACTCTGCAGCTGGGCTGGGGAAGAGCCAACTCGGTTATTGTGGGCTGATAATGGCCCGGACAGGTGGAGTGGAGGAGTGGGAATAAGGGCTTCTAGGTCCAGCAGAAAGCCGAGGGGAGGGATGATGCAATGGAGCTATTGTGAGCTACTTCAAAATTCTCATCATGCACTCTTTCCATCTTTGGTCTGTGCCTACCCTCCAAGAATCCCTCCATGAGAGCAAAATTACCGTACCTCTCTGTTTACCGGTATCAGATATCAGTTATATACTCTCTGTTTTGGGGATTTTCATTCAATATGTGTGTTACTTTTGCTGTCCGTCATTGGCTTTATAGTTCCCAATTCATATGGACTGTATAGCACTTAATGTTCTCATTTTTACAATTCTCTCCTTCCTCCTCTCTCTGTGTGTGCATGTGTGTGCATGTGTGCGTGTTCATGTGTGCATGCGTATTAGTGTGTGCATGTGTGTGTGTGACATGCAGAGGTCCAAGGACAACTTCTAGGAGTCAGTTCTCTCCTTCTATCTCGTGGATCTTGCGGATCAAATGCAGCCTGTTGTGCTTTCCAGCCAGCACCTTGACCCGCTGAGTCATCTCATTGGCCCCCTTTTAAGGAATAATAATTTCCAATGAATGATTATTAGGTAGCCACGCCCTCTGGCTTACACCAAGCACCATCTCTTACCTGTTTTTAAGTGTATACACTTTCTCTCACAAGGTCTGTAGTCCTGTGTATTTGGTTTCCAGCCACAGGCTACTGGAGCTGTGGGTGCTGGAAACAGCCGTTAGCAGCTCTGGCCCAGAGAGTGGAAACACTGTCAGTGCTGGAGCGAAGCCGAAGCCTGCAGCGTGAGAGTGCCAGGGACCTGTTCAGAGGCGGCAGAAACGGGAGTTGGGAAAAGGCAATTATTTCTGTCCCACCGCTAAACAGTAAGGAGAGTGATTCTGGCCACGCTTTCCAGGACAACATCCAAATGACCAAGGAGAGAAAATATCGGTCGCGGTAGCTGGGCCGAAGATGTCCCGTGAAGTCCCAGGTGAGGGCTGACCCCGTGGTTCTTGCCTTCAGAATCAGTGACCTGAGTTCAGTTCTCAGAACGCACATGGTAGAAGGAGAGAACCAACTCTTGTAAGTTGTCCTCTGACCTCCTCATGTGCACTGTGGCACAAACACACACAAATGTAAATTAAAATTTTTTTTTTAAAAAGTATAAAAGTTTTAAGTAATAGATGATAACGTAGACTGCCTCTGCCCCTTCTAAATTCCGAGGATGACGTCAACTCAAGTCTGAATTTCAGGGCAATACAATAAAAAAGAAGATAAAAATGAATATAAGTAAACATTAATAAGGGTTTCAAAACAGGCAATGCCAAAGTGCCCAAGCCACAAGATACATAAATGCAGCAGCAGCTAAGGGGTTGACTTGTGAAGGTATAAATAAAATTCACTTGCAGAGTGCAAAAGTAAAGGCTGAACGGAACTGGAATGAGATTCAAGGTGTCCCTCCACAGAAAATGTCACTTCAAAGAGCACTTTTTCTGTTTTAGAAACAGTTACTTCCTTACATGCCCTTTTGGTGGAAGTGTACAGCAGCAGCAGATGCAGCAGCAGCAGCAGAGAGAGAGAGAAAGAGCGAGAGCGAGAGCGAGAGCGAGAGAGAGAGAGAGAGAGAGAGAGAGAGAGGGAGGAGGGGCGGGGGGGGGAGAAAGCAAATGATCGCAGATGAGAGAGAACTCTAGCTTTCCTTCAAGACTTTTGCTAGAGAAGTTTAAGAATTAAGTAAATTGCTACAGTGCCTCTTCAGTGTGTGCTTCAGTTTTCACTTTACAGAAAGTAACAGAATGGCCTTACACTAATACAGAAATTAAGCCATTCTTGAAACAAGAATTCCCATGGCACACTACAAGAAAATCAGAGGCTCTACAGAAATTCCTCTATTTTCTACTGAATTGTTGCTTTTTAGAAGGAAAGAGATCAGAGCAAATGTTTCTTGGGTTTTTCCTCTTGGAAAATGTTGTGTACTCTTTTTTTTTTTTTTTTTGCTCTTGTTTTTTGAGACAGCATTTATCTGTGTAACTGCCCAGGTGTTCTGAAACTCTCTCTGTAGATCAGGCTGGCCTGAATTCATAGAGATCTGCCTGTCTTTGCCTCCCTAGTGCTGGGTTTAAAGGCGTGCACCATCACTGCCCAGCTTGTATTATTCTTTCTGCCTACTTTTTTCTGCAAACACATAAGGTGTGCAGATAACTGTTTCCTGCTATAAAAAGAAAAGTTATGGAATTTTTATAGGTCTTATAAAATTATGTTTATCGGAGTGAAAAACTGAATAAAATCATTACTGATTTGTAGCACTCCCTCCCAAACCCAGCAACCGTAGCAACAACATAAAAGCAGCAACTGGAAAGAACATTTTGAATTTGTTAGGAGACTCTAGTCCTTTGCCCATAAACATCTGTGATAAAAGGACCAGGACCTTTTAAAAATTCTTCAAGCTAACTGTCTTCAGAACTGGTGTCTTTCTTCTTATGCCTTATCTCTTTGCTGAAGGACGAAAGGACCACCTGTTGGGAGCTGTAAACCCCAAGGTTGTTTGATGTTTGGCTGGGGAGATTGTGGTGTTCTGGCCTTCCAGAGGGTTGGGATGGTTCTCACAGGGTTCTGGGACTCTGTATAAAAACACGAGGCCTCCTCCTAACAGTCTTTACAGCTAGTGAACATGGTGATGCTATATAACTTAAGCTATAAGGGAAGTGAGGTGGTTTTACTTTGAACACTAGAAATTTAACGTTTACTTTTATTTCATAATTTTCGAGTTTGAAGACTTCTTTTCCTACTAATCTTATCAGGTAAATAGTTAATAAGGTAATTATTAGCATCTCTGAATCGAAGCCTGGGGTTGGAAGAAGAAACTGAAGCAGTTATCTGGAGATAAGGTATTACTGTCTCTGTGACTGGAGCTTGGACAAGGCCCAGGGGAGAGAATGGACTTTCCTTTCTGTTACAGTTGGTTAGACTTTCATTTCTCTTGTTTGTTGAACCATTGCAGTCTCTCCTCTGCAGAACTCTTACGCTGGCTGGCAGACTAGAAGCAAATTAAACCGAGCAGGCATCCGCAGCTCAAACGACGACGACATGGAGCTTTGAAGGTGGAAGTAGCACGGTGTCGGCCATGGGTCATCAGGACACAGCCGGACAATGTGGACCACTTTCTTCAAACTACGAGTCTTCTGCTGTCTGTTTGCAGTGCTAATGGTGGTGGCGTTGGTCGTCAATGTCACTCAGGTGGAGGTGAGTGCTCAGATCGGAGGCCATTTGCAGTTTTCCATTGCTGTGGTATTTGATCATCTCTAGCATCCCTCTGCTGTGACAGTCACTGAGGACACAGGCGTGAAGACAGGATGCCTCGCCTGTGGGCTCGGGTCTGAGTGTGTGGGAGAAAATACAGAGAATATTTATTTGCGATGCTTAGACTAGATAGAGTGTGTCATATTCTGAAGCTTTTTGTTTTATTTACAATTCAGGAGGTTCATTTAGCGCATGAATATTACAAAATTTTGGGTTGGGAGATTTATTTATTTCAGACAGAGTCTCACTATGTAGCCCTAGCTGACCTCAAGCTCAGAGATCTGTCTTTCTCTGTCTCTTTGGTTTGTCAAGACAGGGTTTCTCTGTGTTGTAGCTCAGGCTGCCCTGAAATTTGTTTTGTGAGACCAGGCTGGCCTTGAACTCACAGAGATCCTCCTGCCTCTAGTGCTGGGACTAAAGGTGCGTGCCACCACCACCCTGCCTCCTCTCTTGAGTGCTGGAATTAAAGCATGTACCAGCACAGTGGACTTGGATTTGGAAGTTTTACTTAGAATTCACTGTTTTCAGTAAAAGAAGAAAAAGAATGTTACATACAATCATAAGTATTCATCATAGTTGGAGGTTGGAGAAGTGGCTCAGAGGTAAAGAATATTGGCTGTTCTTCCAAAGGTCTTGAGTACAATTCTCAGCAACCACTTGGTGGCTCACAACCATCTGTAATGAGACCTGGTACCCTTTTCTGGCCTGCAGGCAGACATGCAGGCAGAACATTGTATACCTAATAATAAATAAATCTTTTAAAAAATCATAATTGAGGAATGTAGTAATGATGACTGGCAGTGCTTGTGAAAGTGCTGAAAAGAAAAGGAAGGAAGCTGGAGATCTCCCCTCTCCCACTTAACCACAGCTAAAGGCTGCCTCTACTAGCTGTAGGCAGTACCCATCTGGTCAGCTTGACCCCATTAACTCTGGTTTTGCATCCCATACAATAAAACCATAGCTTCTAATATCTAGACTACAGAAACTTCTTTAACCAGCATTGCAGCGGACACTGGGGTGGTGTTGGTGGGGGCATCAGAGCAAAAGCCAAACCATCAGCAGCTCCGTGGGGACCAAGGAGAGTGGCTACTTCATGGCTACTTTAGAGTGAGGAAGGTGGAGCTTCCTGCAGGAGGGGATCACACAGCCTGGCCATGGGCTGAAGGACAGTTGCAAAGGAAGAATTGGTGAATCTGCCTTTTTAAAAAAAATTACAACACTGTTTGACCAATAGCTTATGTATTTTTCTAGCTAACTTGTACATCTTAAGTTAACTCGTTTCTATTAATCTGTGAATCACCACAAGTCTGTGTCCTGCTGGTGAGGTACTGACTGGTATCTGATGTCTTTCTTTTTCAGCAACTACTTAGCATCTCCTAGACTCTACCTACTCTCTCTATATCTCTGTTCGGATTTCCCGCCTGGCTTTGCTCTGATAAGCTATTGGCCAAAACAACTTGTGTCTGTGCTCCTGAGGTTATGTTTAGAAAGTGGTCTCCTGTGCCAATGTGTACAAATGTACTTTCCACTTTCTCTCTATGAGGTTCAGTGTGGTTGGTTTTATGTTGAGGTCTTTGATCCATCTGGACTTGAGTTTTGCGCATGACAATACATATGGATCTATTTTCATTCTTCTACATGTTGATATCCACTTATGCCAGCACCATTTGCTTTCTTTTTTCCGTGTTATATTTTTTGCTTCTTTGTCAAAAATCAGGTGATCTAAGGTGTATGGATGATAACTGTGTCTTTGATTTGGTTCCATTGGTTCTCCTGTCTGTTTTTTTTTTTCTCTCTCTCTCTTTGTTTCTCTGGGATTGTGGTTTGTAGGCTGATTTTCTTTGCTTTATGTTTTAAAACCCCCAAGAATGAGTACATGTGATAGTTGTCTTTCTGTATCTGGGCTACCTTACTCAGAATAATGATTTTTAGCTCCATCCATGTCTGTTTTTATGCCACTACCAGGCTGTTTTCAGTACTGTAGCTCTGTAGTAGAGTTTGAAGTCAGGGATTGTGATGCCTCCAGAAGTTCCTTTATTGTACAGGATTGTTTTGGCTATCCTGGGTTTTTTTGCTTTTCCAAATGAAGTTGAGTATTGTTCTTTCGAGGTCTGTGAAGAATTTTGCTGGGATTTTGATGAGCATTGCATTGAATCTGTAGATTGCTTTTAGGAAAATTGCTATTTTTACTATGTTAGTTCTCCCTACCAAAGAGCATGGGAGATTTTTCCATTTTCTGGTGTCTTCTTCAATTTCTTTCTTCCAAGATTTAAAGTTCTTGTCATACAGGCCTTCCACTTGTTTGGTTAGAGTTACTCTGAGATATTTTATGTTATTTGTGGCTATTGTGAAGGGTGCTAAAGTTATTTTTTAGGTCATTTCTTCTGCTTCATCTTTATTATATTGGGGTGTTCAAGTCTTGCTGTTGTAGAGCCACTAGTTTTTGTTGATGTTGTGTTACTCTTTGTGGTGTTGAGTGTGTTCTTTCTTACCTTGTCTGTCCATCTTTTCCTCCTATTGGGGCTGTGTCTCTGGTGATCAGTCTTCCAGGTGCCAGTGGAGCCAAGGCTCAGATGGCTGCTTGTTGTGGTGCGGTCAGGGCCACAGATCCAGTTCCGGGGGTCTCTCTGCAATCTCGGAGGTCGTTGGGCTCTGTTCCCTTGGAGGTTCCTGGCTCAGCTGGTCCCACAGAGGTCTCTGACTTGGGCCTAAGTCAGTCCCTAAGGCAGTCTCTCTTTTGTACCTGCTCCTGTGAAGGTTGTTGCCTTGGGCCTGCTCTGGTGGAGGTCACTGGCTTGGTCCTGTTCCCACAGATGTCCCTGACTTGGGTCTGGTTCCACAGAGGTTTCTGGCTGGGGCCTGTTCCCTTTGCAGTAGCTCCCTCGTACCTGCTGATGAGTCTGTCTTGGGTACTTCTGTGTGACTGAAGGGCAGGGAACATGGCTCCCTGAGCCCCTCACAAGTGCTTGAGAGACTCTAGCCCCCTTCCCGACTCCCTCTGCTGAACACATATATGACCAAATTTATGGAGCAGTTTCTACAGAAAAGATGGTAACCATTTTATTTTGCAGTGTTTTTTAGGATGCAAGTCTTAGCTGAGTAAGGCATTTCTTTGCTTATTCGGTTAGCACAAGAATCCCTTCCCTTCCCTCCCCTCCCCTCCCCTCCGTTCCCCTTTCTCCTTTTCTTTAAGGTTTATTTATTTGTTATGTTTAGTGTTCTGCCTGCATCTATGCTTGTAGGCCAGAAGAGGGCACCAGATCTGATTTCAGATGGTTGTGAGCCAACATGTGGTTGCTGGGAATTGAACTCAGGACCTCTGGAAGAATAGCCAGTGCTCTTAAGTGCTAAGCCATCTCTCCAGCCCCGCACAAGTATTTCTAGAGGCTAAGCCATAGGCCTTTTCATTTCTTCAGCTGTTGTGTAGCAGAACGCCAACTCTCATTATAAAATGGACAGAGTCCTCCATAATTTTTGCAAGCCATTGAGTACTTTGAAGAATACAAAGTGATTCTGTTCAAGATTAACACCTTGAAGATTAAGTATAACATCTAGGAACTGATCTCTTTTATTTGCATACACTGTTCTCATGTTTTGTTGTAGGCAAGGCAGTATCGGCACCATATTGACAATTCCTTGTACCTGAGAGCTTTCAGTTATAAATGTCCACCTAGGTATTGTGATAACATAACAAAGAACTTGTAATACATCTTGATTATTTTAAATCAATCTCTCTCTCTCTCTCTCTCTCTCTCTGTAGTGTGAATGCTGCTTGCCATAGATTGCATATTGATATCAGAAGACAACATAGGATTTTGGTCCTCACTCTCTACTTTGTTTGAAGCAGTCTCTTTGTTGTTCTTCACTAGGTACACCAGGCTAGCTGGCCTGTGGTCTTCCGAGGAGCCTCTTCTCTCACCTCCCATCTCACCATAGGAGTGCTGGGATATCGGACGCTTGCTATTGCATCTGGCTTTGCATGGGTTCTGGGGATTCCAATTTAGGTTCTCAGCCTTGTGTGGCAAGAGCCATCTCCCCAGCCCCAGGGGATGGAAGTGTACTTGTCAGTGGGACTAAGCACAGTCACTTGTGCAACTACTCCACTGTCTCTGGAACTTCATTCTTGTTGGGTGAAATTCTGGATCTGTTAAATAATTATCCTCCTCTCCCTTAGCTTCTGTCTTCTAATTATCAGTTTCCTGTCTCTATGAATTTTGTGAGTCTAGATGCTGCACATGATAGGATCATATTTTTGTGACTCACTTATTTCTATTCATGTAAGGTTTTCAAGATTCATCCATAGCCGGGCGATGGTGGTGCACGCCTTTAATCCCAGCACTCGGGAGGCAGAGGCAGGTGGATCTCTGTGAGTTCGAGACCAGCCTGGTCTGCAGAGCTAGTTCCAGGACTGGCTCCAAAGCTACATAGAAACCCTGTCTCGGAAAAAAAATTCATCCATATTGTAGCATGAATCATATTTTTTATTTCTGGATTGGATCTCTTTCTACAGTCCAACCTATCATGGCACTCACTATACACCCAACGAGACTTCAAGCTCTTGGCAATCCTTATTCCTCAGGTTCCCAAATGCTGGGATTACGCCTGTGAAGCACCATTAACCTTTGCTTCTTAGTTGAAATGTTTATACTCCTTATATTTAATGTTTTTGTTGAGAGGATCACGGTTACACCATTTTGCCATTTATATTCATCTTATTCCCTTCCCTTTTCTTCTTTGTTTCACATCGAGAAATTATTTTAATCTGTTCTATATTTTTGGGGGGCTTGTTAGTAATAAGTCTGTTATTTTTAGTAACTCTTTTAGGGCTTACAGTATATATATTTAATATCACACTCTGTGGTCAAATGGTATTCTACCTCATGCACCTTGCCACAATGGATATTCATTTCTCCTCTGTGATTTTTGTGCTTTAACATATACTT